TTTCCCCCAGTGCAGCATCATCTAAGAATACAAAATTTATTGAATAAATTAACCGTTTTGATTGTTTTCCTTTATACCCATAAAGTGAATTCCCTTAATTACTGTAGCATAATTTCAACCATCGACCTTTCAAACCTCATCACGATTCATAACTAAAGTAATTTTAAATTGGAATAGTTACGAGTTAATTTGTTATTTAACAATATTAATATTGTAGACTTGTATAAAACAATACACCATAACATAATATTGTTGTTAATTATTTAGAACTTCAATTTGTATACATAGTATAGTATACATAAGTCTCTCTCACTCTCCCTATATAATTTTGCAACCAGACAATAATCCAACTCGTTGAATATATCAAATAAACTTCGAAAAGTAGAAGACATTTATATAAAAAATTATTATATTAAATTTGACAAAAGAAACTACTTTTTTAAAAAAGTTTTTCAAACAGAGAACGGTTCCAAGAACGATCGAGTTTAGTCGTCATCTCCCTCAAAGGAAAGTAGATCCCAGCGCGTTACAAGAACAACAAAAGCGAATTGTTGATGTACATTCATAATAAATTAACAAAATACCAAGTCAAATAGAGTTATGCATCAGTTGGTTAATTAACATCGACTCTGAACTTCAATTTATAGCGTACAAGTTCAACCCTTGTAACTTTCAGTTTCAAAAACCTATTAACGAATAATTAAATCAAAGAAATATTTTCAAAAAGACCACTCATAATGGATATTTGACCATCCTTGAAACAACTATATGGCCAGCAAAAACTTCAATTAATTAAAAATAATAAAATTCTGTTATTGCAGACTGTTCGAAAACCCGTTCTCTCTATAATTATATAAATTTAAAACCCAACTGACAGTTTTTTATTTAGTTTCACACAATCCCTTAAGAACATAAAGAAGTGATTTTACTGGATCAAACTCTCAATCTTCAGTCTTAAAAATTTTCCATCTATTGAAAGTTGCTTCAACTTCTCTTTTATATATGATAATAATAACTCATACATATTATATATATATGATAATAATAATAACTCAATATTTTATATTTGAGTAATTTAATAATTTGTCCTAATAAGAGTAATAAGTGAGATAAAAACACAGCGAATTGGATCTCATTGTTTTCCGATGTTTTATTACCATCTCTGCAATTGCATATTTTTGATCTGAATAATAACAATACGAATAAGTCGAATTTGAATACGAATTTTCTTTTCATTGTTTACATAATTAAAATTTATATAAATCAGTTCCATAAAGTGTTAAAACTGATCGATTTTCATAATTTGAGACTGTTAAAAGTTAGAGTGTTCGAAAACCTGCTTAAGTGAGAGCGCACGCAAAGTTTAACTTTAAAGTATCAAATTCAAAAAGTCGATCATTTCACATTAAAAATACTTAAGTTTTTTTGTAATTATTTTTTTTTCTTTTTAACTACATTATTAAATTAAAAATTCTTTGTATCTATTTAATTAGATAATAATTTAGTGTTTATGTTTAAGTTGTTATTTACTGCCACTTTTATTATCCAATTCAAGCATTTAACAAAGAATCGATTCAAAGTGTCGTATGGCTAGTAGGCTACAATTCTTCTGCAGGATGACTTGGATACCTTCTTATCATAACAAAGCATTGCCGTCGTAGTAGAATTTCAATTCGCTTAACAATTATCGAAGAATTTAATTATTTCCATTTTTGTTTTTGTTTTTATAATAGTAGTATCTGCACATGATTTTTAATTTTATTATAATTAATGTTTTATTCATATTTCAAACTTAAATAAAAGTGTTATTGACTTCTATATTCTCAATTGTTGAATGTTTTACTTAAAAACAATGAAGATGTTGGAGTTGTTTTTAACGTTAACTTATTGATAATAAGCACTCTAGAAAGCGAAGAGAAGCAAGAAGGCCATCATAAGACAGAACAGACCCATAGCTTCAGAGAGGGCAAAACCCAAGATAGCGTATGAGAACAATTGTTGTTTCAATGATGGATTTCTGGCATAACCGATAATAAGGGAACCGAATACTGTTCCGATACCAGCACCTGTTTGTATTGGAAGCAATAAAATAAACAATATTATTGTGTTATATATAAAAAATTATTAAAACAAAAAAAAAAAAAAATACAAGAAAACTGTGTTATAGTTTTTGTTACTTTAAAGGAAAATTAAAAAAATATATTACACAAATGCAATGCTTTAGTTGTAGGGAAGTCAGTTGCAGATTAGTCTGAATTGAGTTCTGCATAGAATGCAGCAAGCACATCGCACTTAAATTGCTGGTCACAAAAGATTCCAATGCAGCGCAAATGATCTTTGCAGAACAAACGCGTGCAGATTTTCTTGTTCTTTTGCCTTTTTATTATACAAGTTTCCTGCTAGAAAATTTATTAGTTTAAGTTCACACGCACCAACAGCGTGCTTTTGTTGAACTTTGACCAAATCTCAGACCTTCCCGAGGCTATTGAAGAGTAATCAGATACTCGTAATGTGCCCCAGATGCTAGATTGTAACTGACTAAGTAACAAACAAAAGCAACGAATTTGTGTTTTAATTAATAATTGTGTAATAATTATTATAACGAATATATTTCATAAAACTGAAATAGAGTTGCTGCTCCTAGGCACAAGGTTGCCGTATAAATAATAGCACAATTTCCTTGTATTACATAAAACAAGCTTCCAATACTAACCGGAACCGGCGACACCGACTGTAGCAGCACCAGCACCAATAAATTTGGCAGCGGAATCAATGTCACGTGTTACTGGGGAGGTCTGGAATGACCTGATTTGTGGCAGTAAAGCAACTGGTGCTGTGTTTTGAGCGGCGAGTGTTTGGCTCTGGCTGATAACAGCACTGCTCAATGGTCGCAAGTATTGTTTTGTACCGTTGAGGATCTGTAAAAAAAAAAATAAAATTTATATATATATAGCAATATATTTATCGAGTTTAAAGTTGTGAGTTATTGATGAATACTAGTATGTAATGATATATAGTTATATAAAAATGTGATAACATATGCTATAGTATTTAGTTGGAAGAAAACCTATAGCTGTGAATCGATTATGCAACTATCAAATTATTACTAGAATTGCGCTTATCACTGACTTTGCCAAAAGGCAATAAAAACATATTGAACTTGAAATAGAACTCTTTTAAAATTAATATATTATAAATGAAAGGTAATTTGTTAAACATAAATACTTTTCAAAATATTTAACTACGCCCACATCTAAGCTATTTCTAAATAATTTTTGGTTATACCAAATATAAAAAGAATTAAATAGTAACAGAAGAACTAGGATGGAGAAGTGTCGATAACCTCCACTTACTCTGGATATTAGTTTGAGTTAAGAGGTCGCTAAATAACCGGTAGTAGTCGTATTAAGTTATATTAGTAATTATACAACATATTCTGTTACGTATCAAATTCATGTTAGCCTAAATTTAAACATTTACTTTTGGTAATTTTAATTATAAATAAACGGAAAATAGTGTATTTTAATTTTGTGTACTTTCAGTTGCAGTTCCCTGCACACATTTTCCATCTTACATACACCTAACCTCAAATAATTCTTATGTAATGTGCCTTAATAAAATTTCACCGCAAGTCTTGAGAGTTCACCATACCGCACAGCAATATAAAAAATATGTGTTACGGAAAAATCGATTCAAGTAATTATGTAATTTTATAGATTCTAAGTGTTAAAACATTTTAAAATTATAACAAAATTAACATAAAAGTTTACTTACTGTATTTCTTGCAATAGGCGCAATACGAGAGACTGTTGACACGAACATTTTTTCTATTTTAATTTATTGATGCCTTGTTCAACCGCAAAAGTGAAGCTAACGCACAGAGCTCTGTAAAGAAAAATTAAATTAATATTTGTTAAAAAGAGTTTTATTAAATATATATTATATTTATAAATACAATATAATAAAATAACTGCAAAAGTATATTTTATAATAATTTCTACTACTGCTTTTTTTCTGCTTCTACAATTACGTAACTAATCAGAAAATATAGCTATATAATTGGTTAAATTTTATTTAAACTATTTTAAATTAATTACTGAATATCACTTATTAATTTAAAATGTTTTATTGAATATTAAACTAACAGCACTAATTATATTAATAATTTTTATAAATTGTCTACCACAATTCACTGCTACAAATGCTTTCGTAATGACAATTGACGTCGTGTCTGTGCCGATTAAAAATTTGCTTCGTGGTGTAGAATACTATTCCACCACACTCATACACACAAATTTTACACATGTCAAGATGGCCGTCATGTGCAAAAAGGTATTACATCTTTTTTCCAAAAAAATATTAAATTTATCTATATAATTATATATATAAATCAGCTTATAGACCACAAAAAAATTTCATTACTTATTAGCAATTTGATTTGCATATTTTTGATATAATTGATATTTTCACTTTGCATGATTATTTAACAGTTTGAGATTAGAGCAGCAGCAGCAGAACCAAAATCTTGTTATAGCAGTCACACCATGTACTCACTTTGAACGAACCCTTACGACAGTGGTCGAGTGTACGAGAAATAATATGCTAAAGCCATATTTTTCATGATTTAGTGTGGTGAATTCTACCGGCATGGCAGATGCATATTCCAACGGGTGTGTTCATTGAGTAGAACAAGTTTTTTTACCTATCAAAATATTGAAGATATTGAACAAGCCACTTAAACATATTTATTTCATAAAAATAATTATTTTAAAAATAATTTCATATAATCTAAAAACTATTGTTACTATAATTAAATGTTTTTTAAATTATAAATTATTTAATATTCTTTGTAATCTTAAATGTTGTTTCATATACTTGACTGGAGAGTAAAACAGTTATTACACAAAGATGTTAAACGTATCAAATTTTAGTAAAAATAATATTGGATTCACACGAGAGTTTTGTTTATAATTTTAGCTAACAATTGTTTTTGCTTTCAATACGAAATTAAAATATTTGACAACTAAAATTACAAACAGAACTCTCGTATGAATCCAATATAAATTTGTAGCTCATAAATCTTGTTTAACAAATGTTTTTAGAAATACTCATAACTCATAATTTTTTCTTTCAAAGACGCAAAAAAATACTCGTAACTTACGAAAGAAAATATGTGAAGCAACAACAATGCTCTAAAAGTCTTCAGAGTTAGGTTTTACTCGTAAGCCTTAAGTTATATAGCTATACAGTCAAATTCAAAAATTAGTCTATTGTGAGTGTTCACTGGAAATACGTTGCAAAATTGCAGTCATTCGTTAAAATCATATGAACATATTTCATTTACTAATAAATTCAAATACATAACTAAATAAATTAATTTAAATTTATAAGATAAAAATGCTAACAATGGCCCTTCTAATATTCATTTTGTTTTCTTTTATTTAAATTAATTAATTAATTAATACACAATTCAATAAACAAACATGTCAAAAATAAGCATTTAACATATTTTCAAAGTGATGCCAATTTGCTTAAACCAGACTTAATGCTGTTTTTTTACAGCTCTGAAAGAAAAAATTACGGCTAATGAAAGAAAGTTAAGCATTTTAAAATAAAATAAATTTATCCATTTTTAAAAATTTTTTTGTTTTTTATATTGTTTTATATATTATATAAGTATATATATTATCAATTTTATGCATTTTCTACGTTTTCCATAATCAATGTTGTGAGAACATGTTAAAAGATGTACTTTATTACATAAATGACCCCATTTATTACAATTACAATACTTAATATTATATAAAACAATATATTGTATATAATAACTTATATTTATTACAAACGTATATAAAAAATAAAACTTGAGAGCAAAATGTAATGTGTGATCAATACAAAAATTAATATATGTTTTAACAAATTGTACGATTAATTTTTTTATATTTCTTTTTTCTAAAATATAATTTGAATACTTATTGCAAAATTAATATTTTTATACAACTTTTATTTTGTATTTTATAGTCAAGTTGGCATATTGCAAAATTTTGTTAATGTATTTACAGTACATATGTGAGTGGTGGTGAAAAATCATCGTTCTATATTTTCCCCACATGGTATTCACGCTGAACGTACTTATCCTCACTCACCTTTCCTATTTATGTAACAAAAGAGAATAATGTTGATTGGACACCCGTTACTAGTATTTCAAGTTTTAAGTCAATTTAAAATTTATGACGAGTATATAGAGATCCAATGTGTTTACAATAACAATAAAATTAGCTTTATATGTTGACTGACAGATGTTTGTATTCTAGGAATTGTCTTCTGAATTTATTTAAAGCAAAAGAACCGGAATTTATAAGGGTAAAAATAATATAAGAATATATTGCAATTTAAAATATGAAGAAGAATTTGATGAGTTTTTTATAAGGGTATGATGTTCGTCTCCAAATCTGATATAGTTAACTTTTTATATAAAAGGTTTATTGAATAGCACAGTCTAAAAATAGCATGCATTTCAAAAAAATGTTATTAAGACTTTTGAAATTAAAAACGTTTTTAATATTGAAGCGGAAAGATTGAAAAGATGTAAATATCAGTAAATAAAATAAATATCATGTCTGCTGATTATTAACAAAATTCTTATTTATATTGTAAAGAGAAAATAATTAAAATGATGGTATATTATTTACAACAACAGTGGTAAGACGTAAGCTCTTGTCAAGTATTGCAAAACTAAACAGTAACGCTTTCATTTCTATTTTTTTTGTTATTATTCACCTTTTAAATTTAGAAACACAACATATTACCGTGTACTGTTAGTGCTATAATGTAGTTGGTGTTCTTTTAAATTATTTATTAAATAATTATTATTCGGTCTCCTCTCAAAAGTTATTATAACTTTCGTGTAGAGGGCTTGTCTAAACACTTGTCTTTCTTTACCGTAATATCGTTTCATTACTTCAGGTCAACTCTTTTGGCATCTATTAATTAAAGAAATGAATGAAATAAGATGTTATTACCTTTAACCCTGGACGTATAATCATAATTCTACTAACGTTAAGAATAATCATACGTAAAAATGACGTGCAATTTTCAGAGTTTATATTTTGCCGTTATATTAATTTAAAGGTAAATTCGAGATTTAACTTTGTTGATATAAATAGTAGGTAAGGGTAACGTTAAGGGTAACTTAACATTAATTATTGAATAGTTTATTAGTTCCTTTGCATGATTCAAAGTAGATAAAAATAATAATGTGTTATTTCTTAAAAAGTCGAAAAATTCAAGAATTTCGTTAACTCAGAGAGAAATGAGACCGCGATTGTCCCATCTAAAATGGAGTCTCAAACGATTCATACGTTTTTTTTTTTGTGGCAAAGAGAAACGGATTCATCTTTGCTTGTTTGACATGGTTTGGCAAGATGTTAAACTGTCATCATTATTGGACATATCTTTTGTTATTGCCTTTTTTTGCAATTTTATAACAAACCTTTAGATTAGAACCATAATTTAAAAACTTGATTCTCAGTCTCTATGTGATGAAGAGATATTGGATAAATTACGTATTAGCAAGACAGTGGTTTTTAAAAGAATTTGTGTTTTAATGTAGTATTGATTTGTGATCAATAACTGAGACAAGAACTATTAGAATGTCTTGAAGACAGTTGCAAAAAACCTGGATATTTCAGATGACATCAAATATTAATTTAAAAACCGACACTTGATAGAATTATATAGTTGAAAAGTTGATAGAATTGAAAATTTCAAAAGTTTTTCATACAAATAAGAATTATCCTATTTCATGATGTTATTTTATGATTAAATTTAAGCTAAGTGGAGGATTTGAGGCAGAAATATGGTTGATATGATATATGTTAGAAAAATAACATGAAAATCTTTAAAACTAAACTATGTGATCGATAAAGACGGATGGAATTTAGTTTTTGTGTTTTCAGTAACACCCTTAACTGAATCAAGATGAAAGTTTGAATTTCGTTAATTTAACAATTATTTGAAGTAATTAATAATGAATGGTAATTTCTAAGTTTCTGGTGTATATTTTTTTCATTGTCGCTGATCGGACTATTGGTATGAGAGCTTGATAAATTAAAATTTAATCTAAGCTAGTGATAGAAATAATCGAATCATTGAAGCGAAACATTTCAAAAAGGAGTGCCGTCGACAGGCTTGTAATCAACTTGTCTGAAATAATATCCGAAATTTACTTCAGAGGAGCTTTTTCGGATAAAAGCTGGATCGACTATAGTATATATATTTACCATTCAGTTATATAATGATTCATTAATCATGAACAAAGGTATGTATCAATGTAGACATTTGATTAATTTCGTTGAGGAGAGGAGTTATAGCTCATTAAGCCTTTAACATTTATTTGCCTAGCTATCCCGTCAATTTTCTAGAAGTAATAACAAACTATGGATGAATGATACTTATTGCTATACATTAGCCAATTTAATTGCGATAATTTAATTCACGTGTTAAAGATGTATGAAAGTTATTGCTCCATAATTAGGCACGTACCCAGACTAGAGATTTGAGATGTTGAAGCTATCTTATAATTAAACCGATTAAATGCCGAGAAGATTGAGGTTTTAAAATGATCAAAATACAATGGTTATTATTTTCGGGCAGTTTAGTACTGTTTTATGATTATAACTACCAATTAAAATATAATAAAAGTTCAGCCATAAAATAAAGTTCGCTATGATTTAATTATGGATGTTGTTATATTTGCATTTCATCGTAATATTTCCGTGGAATCAGATAAAAATGATCAATCTTATGTAGAAAAAAATTAAAGATTACTTCCAAAATTTGTTGGTTTTCAACGTATAACCCCTCAAGGTAGTCCATAATTCCATATTAATCCATAATTATGTACCTATCCATAATATTATAGCAGACTCAAGTTTGTGATGAGCAATTAAGTAAGTAATATCATGTTTCCATTGCAGCTAAAACTATGTATGTGATGAAATTAAGATTGCGTCGTTTCCATTGACAAAAGCTGAGTTATGCATGTGAACTAGCTTGTTTGTTTACATTTAACATATAAAACACATGACAAATATTTCAAATTTTGGTCATTTTGCTTGTGGGAAATATTTTTAAAGGTTGCAATCGACATTTTTTTTTCTTAAAATAGTTGATTAATTTATAAAGAACATACTTATATAAAAGCTCATTGTATGGAGAACTATCATGATTACCTTAATAAGTAAAACTTCCTAAATGACATAAGTGTAAACACAGTATATGAGTAAGTAAGCATTTATACTCAACCAACAAAAATTATTCATATTACTTCATTTATTCCAAAAAAAAATAAATTGAAAAAGTCTTTAAATTTTGTTCAAGAACTTTGTTTAGCTTAAAGGAAAACATACTTTAACAAAAAAATTTGAAGACCCTCAAGCCCTAATAAAATCGCCACCACTGCATTGACTAAAGTTCACCACCTAACTAGCAGAGTCCATACATATACAAAAGCCACTCACACAGATACTGCTGCTCATTACAAATTTAGTTTTGTTAGCAAGTTCGAAGAGACGGGAGTGCCTTCGACGATTTGTTTTTAAAATGTTTTGAAAAATAAACGCCCCAAATACAACAAAATGATGTAAACGGGGTAT